CCTCTTTTTTATTTTGAGGAGCAGAGGGATGATAGCCTTTATTTATTTAAAATCACATAAATGATACGTGAGAACCATTTCTTAAAAAACGTAAACATTACTAGTAAAACGTCCCCTCTCCACCCCAGCCACACACACACTCAGTATTGAACCCAGTAAATGTGACCATACAGGGACATATTCAGCCACCATCCCGCTTGACGTACCTGGTCATTTAAACTGCTCCCCAAGAGCAGGATGGCTACATTTTCCAAGGGGGAAGGGAGAGGGGAGCGATACACAAACAGCCGATGAGCACAGCACCTGGAAACACTCAGCCCCACTGCCTGGTGCTCTGCTATGAAAATCAAAATCAATTTCACTGAGAGTCAGCATCTCTGGCTTCTGGGCAGAAACCAGGCTGTGGAGAGAAATCAGCACTGAATTCTGCTCTTTTATCTTTGCACGGCGCAAATTCTCCCCAATGCCATAGTTCTCCCCACTTGTCACTTGACATCGGAGCCACAAACTAGACATACCAGAGGAAACTGCAGACACAAAGCATCCTTCCAGACAAAGGGGAAAAGCCACAGCCACATTAAAAAAATATATTTATCTAGTCGATAAGTTTTATTTACTTTGGGGGAAGAAATGGGGAGGAGGGTGGGAATTGGGATTTCTGTTTTCTCTCACAATGCCTGTGTCCCCGGAAAGCTCTGTGAGGGGCAGGGTCCAGGCCCCAAGGCCCCAGTGAGACAGTGAGGCATTCTTTTGAAAACAGACTTCTTGCCCTTGGAGAAGGAGCAGTCAGCCTGCTTCTTCAGACACCGCCAATCTGTAAATGCCTGCATATCACATTAACCAGCTATTTGAAATCTTGGGGCAACATTTATTTTATCCTGAAACTGCTACAGGCCTACTTTTAGCCGGAGGGCCCCTCTTCTTTCCTTTAATCCTACTTTGAAATATTATCCACATAGACTGGAAACTGTTAAGAGAATGACATGTATTAGAAGCCTCTTTGTCCAAACTCTGGGTCTGGGAGATTAGTATTCTGAGGCACAGAGAGGTTAGGGGTCCAGCTGTAAATCACACAGCTAGGTAGCAATAGATTTAGGCACCAATTCCTGGATTCTCCTGCCTCCAAGCTTGTGTCTCTTTCCACATATTCTGCTATAAAATAGCAAAGTGGTCTGATCTCTAGGTACAGAGTGCTCAGTGAATTCTAATGTTATCATTATTAGCTCCATAACCCTAGGCAAGTCACTTAACCTCTCTGAGCCTCAGTTTCCTCATCTACATATTGGGGATTATGATTGTAACTATCTCTAGGATTATTCTGAGGATGAAATGTGCCAGGGTTTGATTCATGGGTACCCTTTATTATACTGTACTGCTCCTGTGTCACATACAGAAGTAAGTGGATCTGCCATCTGAAATGTGATAACTGTGTCTGTACAACTGCCCAGAGATAGAAAATTCAGTTCCCCCACCCATCCCCAGAGATGACATAACTTGCATGAGATCAGAGTTTTAAAAGTGAACACATTCTCAGCATTCAGAAGTTCTAACTGTCCTCCCTACCATACCTCCCAAGGGATGGGTTGAATTAGAAGTAAAATCCACACCCTCTTCCCTTCCCACACACAGTTGAACCACATACCACTGGCTCACACTTCATGACCCTTCCTTGTAAACTAGAATCAGCACAGTACCTGGTACAGAGCAGAGATTCAGTGCAGTTTTGATGAATGAGTGAATTACTGATCCTGATCTGCAGATAAAAAGGCACTGCTCAGCCCAGTAGCCTGAGGTAGGTGTCTTGTTACAGAAAGCAGGAGGGAGGCCAGACCAGCAGGCAAGACCTCCTGCGGCAACAAGCAAGAACCCCAGTCTCTCCATTCATTCCCCTAGGCCTGCTCTATGGGGAAGAAGCCTTTGGTAAGACCAAGAGCTGGGTGCCTGATCTCAATGGCCTATCCAGAGCATTTCCAAATCTGGCCCATATGGCTCAATCCAAGGCCCAGAAGATAACTGTGAAGCACACGTGACCCTCCTCCAGCTAAAACAGATGTAATAGCACTGCAGGCAAGGGGCAGCGAACGGGCCAGGGAGATGACCCATCTGTCTTCCTAATTGTCAACTCTGCCCATAATAAGATTTTTCTCTGTCACACCTTAGGCTGCTACTGAACTGAAGCAAAACCAAGATATCCATCTTCCAGCCATGTGCAATGGCATTCACAAGGTGCCAGGGACAAAGGGAAGCTACTTGGCCAGCAGAAGCAGAGAGCGCTGAAAGGAGCCCTGGACTGGGAGTCAGGAGCTGGGGGTGGCATGTGTTGGGGGGTCGGGGGGAGGTTCATGTTCTTAACCAGCTGCAGATGCTTGGGCAGTCATTGCACCTCATTGGCCTCTGTTTCCTGTAAAATTATAGTCCAAAGTTCAGGAAACGGGGTCAGTGGGGAGGGGAGTGGATCATGTAACACTTCATGCAAGATATTTTAGGTTGTATACATTTGGGGAAGAGTATCCCTTGTTTTCAATAAAATCTCAGAGACATATCTAATAATCCCCCCACTAAAAAATGTTAAGAAATTCTAGACTAGAGAGTTTTCATCCAACAAGCATTTAACTGAGCACCTTCCATGTGTCCTTTTCTGTGCTAGGTACTTGGGACACAGTATGATAAGAGAGACCTGCTTTTAAGTTGCACGGTGCAGCTGATGCTCACCGACACAAGCACATCCAGGGAGCACTGGAAACAGAGAAGTGGAGCATTTGACTCTGGTCAGGAAAGGCCTTGGCTGGGGTGCAGGTGGGGTAAGGATACCTTAAGTTTAATGTTGAAATTGAAAGCTGAGTGTGCATTCATTGGTATTTTACACCAAGGACAGCATGTGCAAAGGCAATATGTGTTCCAGGAACTGCTTGGGGTATAATTGTGAGTAGAACAGAGAGTGCTCATTGAAAAGGGAGGAGATGGAGTGATAGAAATGAGGCTGGAAAGGTATGCAGGCCCAGGCTAGGAAATGCCATGTTAGGAATTACATTGCGGGCCATGAGTTCATTCTAGTTTCAAAAGTCTAAGATGAGCCACCATGCCCAGCATGAACCTTCCTAAATGTTGAATGGAGAGGCCTTGATCAATTGTAAACATGGCTGGCAATAGGGAACAATCAGAGGAAAGACCTGCTGCTCCTTGGCACCCTGCATGGGCATGGGCTATCTGACCCAGGTGCTGGTATGTACTGGGGGTGAGTCTGACACCTGACTGTCAGTCTCTCCCTCTTTCTATCCCAGCCAGGGGCACTCCAATTGCCCATTATAATGGCTGAGAAAGGAAGTTACTGATTGGCCCAGGTGATGGGATGCTGAAGTACAGGGCATGCCCAATTGGTTGGACCCCTACTTGTCACTTAGGAAAAAGTCTTTCAGTCGACTTTTAGCTCCTCTAGTCGACTCTGCTAGTCAACTCAGGGCCCTCTCACATGCTGTTCCTTCTGCCTTGAAGGCTCTTCCCACGCTCTTCAACGAGTTAAGTCCAATTAGTCTTCTGAGTCAGTGCTGTACCTATCACAGATTCTCATAGTACCTTATCCTTTTCTTTTAAAGAATTCAGCACTTCTTAATCGAGTTATTTGCTTCATGTTGGTCTTGGCCGCTGGACTGCAAACTCCATGAGGCCAGGTACTGCCAATTTTGTTCATTTTTCTATCCCAGTACCTTGCCTATAGCCTGGCTCACAGCAAGTATTTGTTGATTGAATGCAAAGTCTTGTGTGGGCCCTGAGCCATTCCCCATTCTCACTGCCCTTTTACAGTCCCACAACTCACATTATGGTCCAATGAGGAGTTTTGGACAGGACGGGAGGGCTGGACTTGACTTGGCAATATCAGAGCGGACTCTGTTTCTATCCCAAGTGTTTGCCATGTCACGCCTTGAAACACTCTAAGGAACCAGCATTTGGTTTACTCACCTAAGCAGGTCCTTGGGAATTGTGTTTAATTTAATATGCTTTCTCCTAGGACTCAACCTGGTCACTGGCTGCATCTGACCATTCCCCGAACTACTTGGTCAATAGAACTTTCAAGGTGGCATCCTCAGAAAGGGGGGAACCTCCTTATCCCTTTCCTGGAAAATGTCTCTTCCTCTCCCTCCATTCCAGCACTCTAAGGCACTTGTGAGCTAAAACCGCTAGTTCTGAAGCCCTAGCAGATGCCCCAGGGCAAGCTCAGATTCAGACCTGGTTGTCGGGGTCCATGGGGCGCCACTTTCCAACTCCCAGGCTAAGTAACTGGTCACTCTGCAGGGACAAAGTACTTGAGCTCAAAAGTTTGACCTTAAAGCAGAGATGAGAGAGAGGTACAGGAGAGGGAAAGGTACCAAGAGGTACACAGGATCGCAAAAAGCGCCCTTGGCTGCCAGCGCACGGGAGCAGCCCGACTGCCTCCACCCAAGGTCGTAGCCCAGCGGGAGGCGCTGGGAAGTTCAGCCAGGGGCCGAGGGCCACCAGGGTAGGAATTGGGGGCCGGCTTTTGTGATAAAAAGGGAGGCTACGAGCTTGATTTCGGGTAGTCCTGGGAGACAGCGGCAGGGCGTCCAAGTCCCGCAAGCTGCATCCCGGACCACAGCGCTCCGCTCAGAAGCTCTGGGCGGGGGCTGCACCACCTAGCCGCAAGGACAGCGCGGCCTTCCCACTCCTCACTGGTCTCCTCTGTACCCAGCATCCGGGCGCGGGGAGCCAGTCAGGACGGAAGGGGAGCGGTTCCTGCCCTTGGGCAACCCGTCTTCCCGCGCCGTCTCGGACCTCAAGCAGGGACTCCAGGTCGGCCCAGGCTGCCGCAGCGTCTGCCTTCAGGGGTTCCAGGGATGCGCGGCGCAAGGAGGGGACGAGACGGACGGCAGAGGCAGAGGCAGAGGCAGAGGAGAGTGGCGGGGGCCAACACCTGGGTTAGCCCTGCTGGGTGCCGGCTTGCCCCACCAGCGCTCTCCGCAGGCTGGGGTCGCTGGGCGCCTTACCTTGGCTAGCGGAGGGTGTCCGGTGCGAGGCGGGCGGTCGGCGGGCCGGCGGGCCAGCCGTGCCAGGGGCCGGCTCACACCCGGCTTCGGGGTGCACGCAGTCTCCGAGTGCACAGTCCTGTCTCGGGCGCGCACCCCGGGGCAGGCGCACACCCGGCGTCCGGAGCGCGCACACCCTTGGGCGCCCTCTTGTCAGCGGGTTCGGCCTGGGCCTGGGGCGCACACCCTGCGGGTCACACCCACCGCGGCCGCTGCGGGACTGGCCAGGAGCAGCCCGCCGAAGCCTCGCCTGGCGTAGCCGGCTGCCAACACCACCCGAGACCCCGCCTTCGCCACGAAAAAAAAAAAAAAAAAAAGACTCCTGACGCGGCGCGGTCTTTGGTGTGTAGGAAGGGGCAGCACTACGAAACTAAGGGGAGGGTCTTAGCTTTGATAAATTCCAGAAGGCCTTGGACAGAGTTTGGAAAAACTTTTTGAAAAGAGACCTGAAAACTCCTCATCTGTATATAGTGCGTTTCAGCTTTCCAAAAGTGCTTTCACATGCATTTATCTCAGTTTGTTTTCGCCACAACAGTTACTGGGGCATTTGTGTCTTCACCTTATAGGTGTGGAGACGCCACCAGGGGCGAAGCAGTGACTTAGCCAAGCCAGGGCTAGACCCCGCCTTGGGAACCGTCGGAGTGCCCTGGGGTGATGGGCATGGCCCGCCCGCGGGGTGGTCTCACTGAGGAGGTGGAGGAGCAACGGTTGGGGTGGAAAGAAGGGAACTTTCTCCTAAGTCCTGTCTTTATCTATTTGCTTTTTTTCCTTCCCAGCCATGGCATTAGCCCCACTCAGGAATCCGAAACCTTTCACTTCACACTCCCACTTCCCAGAATTCTTTTTATCAGCTCAAAAGATGTTCAGTGCAATCACTAACCTTGAGTGATCAGCTCCGTAACGGCCAGACAATGTGCACAATACAAAAAAGCTGACGCTACCCCATTTTACAGATGAGGGCAGACAGAGGAGGGTAGAACAGAGCCTGTGGGACCCAGATCCCAACTGTGACCCTCCCTACACACCGTTCATAGGGCTCATTGGCGGGGGTAAAACTTAACCAGAGGGTTTCTTTTTGTTTGATTTGTTTTGTTTTGTTTTGTTTTTCCTTCTTATTGAATTTATTGAGGGTGACACTGGTTAAAAAATTGTACAGGTTCCAGGTGCACAATTTTACAACACACCGTCTGTACACTGTATTGTGTGCTCACCATTCAAATCAAGTCTCCATCCATCACCACTTATAAGGGGTTTCATTTTTGCCATTGAGACCCTGAAGGGGGGAGATAATTTGGGACAAGGGACACTTCTGGGATTTTCATTTTCCCATTTTGATGGAAGCATGGTTATTGTAAAGATTTTGCTTCCACTAGGGCTTTTCTGGAAGCAAATCAATAGCCCCGGAGCCATAACAAATGGCCACAGAGACTTGGCCCCAATATTGGGAATAACGGGGAGTAACCGGGACTGCAGTGAGTTTGTGGGCAGCTCCAGGCTCCTGCCCAGGTGAAGGGCCTGCAGCTACTCAGTTCTAGTCAGTTTTTGACATTTGAGACAAGGAGTTACTGAGGTCGGATCTTCCCATTTGTAAGAGAAGCCGCAAATTCAGATATGTAAGTGAAGTCTCCCAGTGTGTTGATAACTCATTTGAAAATGATAGATGCTTGATAACTAGGTCAACATTGTTCAAAGCAAATGAAATGAGTTTATGAACAGATCTAGTTTGTGGAGCAGGGGTTTGTGCCCCAGAGTCTGAGCTACTTGACCCTACTTCATTTGGGCCTCCCAATACCCCTGTGGAATGGACACAACATGGATGACTATTTCTGTTTTCTGGAAGAGGAAACCCCAGTTCCAGAGGTTCCAATGACCAGCTCAAGGTCACACAAGCTAATCAGAACCAGAACTGAAACCCAGGCCTGCTGACTCTTGGTCCTGCAGCCTCCCCTCTACATTCTCTGGTCTCACTAAGATGCCATTTCTTGCTTTCCGGGTGTTGTGAGCCAAGTTAGGCATGGTGTGGCTCTGGAGCATGGAGACATAACACTTTTCCTGAGAAGATGGAGCTGGAGTGCCAGGCTGCTGTCCTCGAAAGCTCAGTCTGATGACTCAGAGATGAAGCTGTGTCTTGAGGGTAAAGCTGAGTCAGAGGAAGCAAGGTTGGAACTGGGGCAGCCCAGGCTTCGGAATCCCAGAGTAGAGAATCATGAAACAGGAAGAAGAATGGACTGAGCAAATACACCTGCTCCTAGCCTCCCCCCTCCCAAATAAACCAGAAGACACAGACACAGAGACATCGGCTAGATAGAGCACTGCCTATTTTTCCTGTCATAACAAGAAAGTCAGCAAGAATTATACTAGGAAGTTAACTTCTTCTGTGGTTGTAGAAAAAGGGGACCTTTCTCAGGCAGCAGGTCTTCAAGAATCTCAGGTTTGAGCATGTCCACTGTCCGACCAGCTTAGGCCTTTCAGACAGAGTGATTCTGAAAAGCTGATTTAGAATAACTGGGCAGGACACGGCTGCAGCCTGAAGCTCTGTAATCAGAGGACCGAGCTGCAGGCAAAGAATGGAGTGCCTCCTTTCTCCAACCCTTTGATGGAGTTTGGAGCGGGGTATAGGAGGATTAACAAGAACTCACCATCTACCCTTTATGTGCCAGGCATGGAATCGAGCATTTTACACACATAATTTCATCAGGACTCACAGTAAAACTGAAATTGTTATTTTCCTGCCAAGGATAATGATGTACAGTGTCACTTGTCCGAGGAGTCACAACTAGTAAGTGGGGGAGGTGGGATTCACACTTGGGTCTTGGTTACTCTAAAGACCAGACCCTCTCTAACTGAGGGTCTGGAAATTGTGGCCAACATGGAGACACGTCACTCAGATTCTGCTTCAAGAAAGGACCGCTCAGCTGTTAGCAGTGTGGTTAGTTGACACCCCCACAGTGTGGTGAGCTCCTATAGGGCCTCGGCCAAGGGTGTGTGGGTAAAGTTTAACAACCAGCTCTCAGGGGAGGAAATGTGTACATAAATACATTTGATTCTCATTATTTATGGTAGCTCTATAAAATGGCTACAAATACTGAAATTGCTAACATTGAACCATGGTTCCCAGGGGAAATGCAGAGTTAGGTTCCTATAAGCTTCTGGGCACTTTTTTATCAGCTGATCAATATATAACCCTGTTTTATATTTTTTCTTTTCATTTTTTCAACAATAGGCATTTCACAGATGAAGAAACATGAAGAAATGTTCTTCCTTATTAATAATTAGGGAAATGCCTGATCAATCCTTTGAAATTTTATTTCATTTTTTTAAAAAGATTTTATTTATTCTTAGAAAGGGACCAAGGGTGGGAGAAAGAGAGGAAGAGAAACATCAATGTGTGATTGCGTCTCGTATGCCCCTTACTGGGGAGCTGGCCCACAACCCAGGCCTGTGCCCTGACTGGGAATCAAACCAGCGACCCTTTGGTTTACAGGCCAGCACTCAATCCACTGAGCCACACCAGCCAGGGCCTCTGTTTTATGTTTTTGTTTAAAGACTATACATACATACATACACACATTGTATTTTTAATATATATTATTGATTTATTAACATTGCACTAATGGCCAACAGTGCTATAAGTCACACCTGAGCAAATGTTGTCTAATACACATACCAGTAGTTTCCCATAAGGCACATCACAGCCTTCTTGCACTTAGGAACACCAGGTAGCACTTCAGCACTATGCTTCAGTGCTATTTTAAACAGTAAAATAACCTACCAAAAGTTCAAAAAATACAAAGACTGCTAAAAAGACTGCAAAAAGGACACGTGTTTACAGCATGAGAGTGGAAACAAGAAGGCCGAGGGTCACCTTGCTCAGCCTCAGCTGGGAATGTGCATGTCAGGTGACTCTGAAATTTCACTGCTCTGCACATGTCTGTGAGTGACTGCAAAAGTACTGTGACTATTGATTTGGGGAACATGAGGAAATGTTAGTAAGTGAATTGGCAAACACAGAATCCATACATTATGAGGATCAGCTATTCATATATGTATTCATATGTGCCATCTGGCCCTCCACATCCACAACCATCCTCCCAGATTTATCTCCTATTACCCTCCAGCCAGACTGCACTGTTTACTATTCTCCAAAACATGCCCCATGCTTATCTAACTTTGTGACTGAGTTCAGGCTGTGGTCTATATCTGTATTCTTTCTTTTCTGCCTCCCCCTAGCCCACATGCCTGTCTTCCCCTGTCCAAGTGATTCTGCTGTGCAGTTGTACCTCCTGCATGAAAGCCTTCTTGATGCCCTAGACAATGGAATTTCTGTGGCCTTGGGACAATTGGGGCATTTTTTTTAAAGATTTTTTTTATTTATTTATTTACTTATTTATTTATTTATTTGGAGGGAAGGGTGGGGAAGATAGGGATAGAAACATCGATGTGTGAGAAGTACATGGATCAGCTGCCTCTCACATGCCCCCAAGTGGGGATCTGGCCTGCCACCCAGGCATGTGCCCTGAAACCCAGGCATGTGCCCTGACCGACACTTCACTTCACAGACCAGCATTCCACCCACTGAGCCATACCAGCAGGGGCCCACTGTGGCATTTTGAAGCCTACATTATATTCTACTGTGAATTACAAGGCAGCCTTAGTAATCTTCAAAAAACCTGAAAACGCAAATATGATCATGCCATTATCCTGCCTAAAATTTCTCAAAAGCATCGTAGTGCTCCAATAAAACCTGATTCTTTTAAGAAGGCTCACAATTCTAGCTCCTGCCAGTCTCCTCTCACGTCCTTTCTCCTTTGGCCACATGAGACTCCTCTTAGTTCCCGCAGCACACTGGGTTCTTCCCTGCCTGGAGATGTCTGCACACGCTGTGTGTTCTCCTGCCTGGAATTTTCCTCCCTCCAGTTCTTTGTTTAGATAATTAATACTCATCCCAAGAGTTTCGGCTTAAACATCACTTCTGTAAGGAATCTCTCTGAGCGACTCTTCACCCCCAGACTAAGGTAGGAGTTCCCAGTCTCCACTCCCACAGCATCTCTACTTTTCTTTCATAACACTCAACACAATTTAAATTATGTGTTATTGCCTATTTCTCCCACAAGACGGTGATTTTTGTGAAGAGAGGCCTTTATCTTATCTGATGTACTTCAGCAGCTAATTCAGAACTTGGCACATAGAAA